CTCGCGCCGGCGCCCCACCCCACCGCGGGAGGAGGAGGAGGAGGAGGAGGAGGAGGAGGAGGAGGAGGAGGAGGAGGGGAAGGAGGAGGAGGAGGAGGAGGAGGAAGAGGAGGAGGAGGAGGAGGAGGAGGAGGGGAAGGAGGAAGAGGAGGAGGATTTGTTCAACAAGGCGATAACTGACACAGCGTTTCGCTTGCCAGCAAAGTAACTGCCTCTGGCGGTGGCTGAGCGGAATGGGCCCGCACACACACCCGGGAGCCAGGCGTCAGTCGGAGCCACCAGGCTCCACGGTGCTGACGCGGGCAGCTTGCAGAGGATCGTTATCCTCCTCCTCCCAGAGAGACTCGTCCTCCAGTCTCGGCTGCTCTTGTAGGGCCTCGTCCCCCTCCTTGGAGGGATCGACCGCCCCACCTGCACCGTTGGCAGGCTCATCTTGTGGAGCTTGAAGATGAAGGACGAGGAGGAGGAGGAGGAGGACGAAATGGACGACGACTAGTTACGACCCAAACCTGCGCCCGGCGCCGGGAGCCGCGCGCACGTGCACAGATGTGTCTGGACCCTGTCCCACAGGGACTCACCGACACGCCAATCAGGATAGCGTAGAGTGTATATTTTGCCAGATGATTCTCCAGGCGGCAGGTGTTGAAACACACACACACACACTGACGCACACACACACACCTATATACATATCTGTATATATATATATATATACATACATACATACAAACAAACAAACATACATGCATACATACATACATGCATGCATGCATGCATGCATGCATACATGCATACATGCATACACACATAACTACATACGTACGTACGTACGTACGTACGTACGTACGTACATACATACATACATACATACATACATACATACATACATAAATACATACATACATACATACATACATACATACATACATACGGACGTACATGCATACATACATGCATACGTACAGACATACATACGCACACGTATGCATACATACTTATATACAGACATACATGCATACATGAATGCATTCATACATGCATGCATACATGCACACATACACACATACATACATGCATACATACTCATCCATATACACATACGCCCATACACACATACACATACATACGTTCATACATACATACATACATATACACACATACATACATACATACATACATACATACATACATACATACATACATACATACATATACACATATACATACATACATACATACATACATACATACATACATACATACATACATACATACATACATACATACATACATACATACATGCATGCATGCATGCATACATACATACATATACACATACATACATACATACGTACGCGTGTATAAGTGCATATATGCATGAATGTATATATATATATATATATATAGCAACGCAGCGCTGAGGAGGGATGAGGTCACCCCGCAGGGCGTGGGGGGAGACTGAACACAGCGGTCCAACGAACACAAAGCAGCACTTAGGTCCACACACTGTCCTACACAGTTTTGACTCCAAAGGTGCGGACGAGGAGGAGGAGGAGAAGAACAGGGGAGAGGCTGATACAAAAATGCTCATGAAACGTATCATCGGCCACCGGTGCGCTTAAAACCCTGGCATCTGCCAGAAGTAAAAATCAGCCTGCAGAACTAACAAGGAGGAAGAAGAGGAGGAGGAGGAGGAGGAGGAGAGGACAGGCAAGAAATGCGCCTCGCACATGCATGCAAATTGACCGTGTGAGCCAGAATTCAGATATTGTGGAAGCCTTGCGGCGGAGCTCTCGGAAGATCTCGTGGATGTGGTACAGAAAACGAATGCCACCGCCACTAGCGGCCACTGAGGAGACCCCTGACCAGAATGGGGGCCAGTGGAATCAACAAGCGGCGGAAAGCGAACGGTCCTCATGCAAGTCTGAGTGAGCCGTGCAAAAAATGTCAGCAGAAAGTGAGACGAATAGAGAGAGAGAGAGGGAAAGAGAGAGAGAGAGAGAACAGAAAAGAACAAACGCAGCGACGAGAAAAGAGGAAAATACGATGTATCAAGTGCCTCCGCGTGGCTGATCAGATCTGCTTCATGTTGCGACCCGGTGTGTCGCGAGCCCCGTCCCCGAATCCAAATCCCAGCTACAATCCTTTCCAACTGCTTATGCCCAGCTGCGGCGGATGTACAATACTGGGTAATGATGTCCACAGCCATGTTGTCGTCCACAGGCCGGCGTTGATGACGAATGGTGTTGACAGCCTGGTACACCCCGTACACCAGCAAGGCTCGGCTCGGCATATATATATATATATATATATATATATATATGTATATATATATATGTATATATATAGATATATCAGAGTGAAGGTGGCGAACGGTCATTCACTGTCCCTAGTTTCCCCCCAGCGCAATGTTTACAGGAGGGGACGTCTTGCACGGAGAGCACGGCGTGGAGGAGCGGGCGAAGCTCAGATCCTGCGTGGACATCCCCATTTGGCTGAATCAGCCGAAAGACTAGAAGCACACACAATGGCTGACATGAGGGGGGAAGGAGGAAGAAGGGGATGAGACGAGAGAGAAAGAGGGAGAGAGAGAGAAAGAGAGAGCAAACGAAATCAATATCCGCAGCGATGCCATACGATGAAATGCGCAGCAGCCCTGAACCACGCCAGAGACACATACGCAAGACAAAAACAGCATCGTGACTGGGCGAGTGTCGAACAACAGCGAACGGCTGCAGCGCCGAGCATAGTGCGTCTAAGGGAGGTGGAAAGGCAAGCCCAGGACAGACCTGAGGCTGGCCAGCAGCAGCCCTCAAGCACGCAACGCGGCGCGGGCAAACGGCGAGCCACCCGGCCCCACAGATTATAAAGCACAGGGGGGAGGAAAGGAGGGGATGGAGGTAGAGGAAAGAGACCACGAAAGTACCGCGCCCAAGGCAATGCCCGCAGACAGGAGGGCGATGGACGGCCCCCAGATGTCCAGCTGGCTTGGTTAAGCGACAACAAACCACCACGATTCCGAGAGGGAGAAGAGGGGGGAAAAGACACGAGGCAGCGACGCAGCGAGGTGGAAGGAAGCCCCACAGCAGATCTGCGCCGCTCCAGCACGCCACGTCCGCACTTCCGGCCTCGTAGACGTAGAGGACGAGACGAAGGCGGGGAGAAGGAAGACGGAACCTTCATCGTGTTGATGCAAGTTACCCCGCGACCATGCCCTTCTTGGCGGTCCCCTCGGATATTGCGAGCGTGGGCGCTGCATGCCGCTTGAGCGGGCACGCGAGTGCCTGCGCGAATGACTTCGCCGATGATGGTATGGCGGATTGCTTCCAGCTTCCCACTCATCATGCTTTTTTGCACGCTTCACACGTCTCCAAGCCTTACGGCTCGAAGGACGGTCATGTAGTACAAAGGTATAGTGAGAGCCTCCATTATATCCAACTGTGCATGGGATCCGCTCAGAAAGGTCACTATGTGTCGCGCGGGTTATCCCGCAAGGGATCATCATCGCAGGTCACCCTGCACGTAGGGTTCCCCAATCACCTGCGGTCGGAGCGCCAATCGTAGCTCCTGTTCCGTGGCCGGCATCGTGTCATCATCAAAACTATCCAGCTCGTACCGATCGGAGCGCGCAGGCGTCCCGCCATCTCGTAGTCCGAGACAGCGGATGATTGGCACTGCTCAGTGATCGCCACGCACGCAGGTTGCCCCGCGATCGGGATGCCCAGCCAGACTGCGAGATCGATCTCATCTTGGCCAACGAAGACTTTCTAGGTCGCAAACCTCCTCGGCGCACCTCTCGAGGGACACGCCGGCGCTCATGTGCTTCGCGGACATGAAATGGACAGCGGCAGTGGGGTTGTCCTCTGTCTGATTCGGCAAAACAGTGTTTCGAAATCTACATACTGAATGTCAGAATAGGTTTGAGCCAAGTGCATCGACGGACCCCTGTCTCTCCCGTCGCCTCGGGGGCACTCGCGACGAAAATGCTGGGTGCTATGGCAGATATTGCATTCCATGGTTTTCCCGTTGGCATCCTTCGGGTTACCCCGCCGCCCCTTTACCATTTCCTGAAATGCGCCTACGGCCACTATCCCCCTCCAGGAAGATTTCCCTAAACTGTGGCCCCGTAAGGGAAGCCAAGAATGTCTCACTCACTCACTCACTCACTCTCAAGTCGTACGCCGAAAAGCGCATAGACGCAACTAGGACATGCAATGCCGGCTCACGCCGGCCCTCCAACCGGACTCACAATGGATATTCTCTCCGATCACAGCAGCGCGCTTGGCGACTTGACTAACCCATTCGTTCCTCGGGCGACCCACCTTATTCACGAATCTCTCCGTTGCCGAAATGTGCGTTCCAGGGATGAAAGTGCGTTTCTTCAACTCGTCTCCCTCCAACGCACGCGCCACTCTCCCATGCAATAGCAGCTGTTGTTGTAAAAGTTTGCATGGAACTTGTACCCGGCCTGCCTTATCCAACACTGTCTTGTTTGAAATTCGCGAAATGAATGATGGTTGTATTCGTAAAAAGACGCGTATTTGAAACATGTTCCAAGAATGTCAGCATGCCTCTACCATGTAACCGCCCTTGTTTACCTGCGCCTCGACCTTGGCCCTTTGACCTAAACACGCGTCGAACTGCACGTCGTACCCTTCGAACTGGTTTCTTCAGAAAGCGTCTCCATCGGCGCTTTTGTTTCTGGCTGCCCAAGAAGAATCATTGCGCTTGTTGTTATTCGGTGAGGTGTGCGGGCGAATCAGAAAAGTCCGAGTGGCCAGTTCCTTCGTCCGACATGGCGTCAGCATCGGCACCAGGAGTCAAAGTCGGACTCTGCGGGCTGCCCTGCCGAGCCCATTAAAAGCAGCGGCTTGGGCAAGTGCCGCCGTTGCCGACGGTCCCTGAGATTGAGCCCAAGAGTCTTGCGACCCCATGGGCTGGCCACCTTGCTGGCTCACTAGAGCGGTGGCCTCGTTTGGTTGTAGATCCCCATTCCAGAT